TTCGTTTCTCTGAGGCAGAGTCTTTTTTAAATTTTACTGATGGTACTGGCTTGACGGACTTGGGTTTTTCTGGGTCTAAATTCATGTGGTGCAATAATCATCTGGGGAGGGCTCGAATCTGGAAGCGTCTAGATAGAGTTCTAGTGAACCAGCTATGGTTGGATCTAGGCGTTAATACTACAGTGGTGCATTTGAGTAGAGTTGCTTCGGATCATTCTCCGCTGCTAGTAACTTGTTCCCTGACTATCAGCGGAGGTCCTCGGAGTTTCCGTTTCTTGGATGTTTAGAGCTCCCACGGTGATTTCCTTAAGGTGGTGCGTCAAGATTGGGAGGTGGAGTGTAAGAGTCGACCGGTTAGGGTAGTTTTGTTTTTGAAATTGAAGGCGGTTAAGCATGCGTCACGGGTATGGAGCAAGGAGACATTTGGAAATGTTACTGATCGTATCCGGGAAGGAGAAGAGCAGGTCCAGTTGTTGGAATGTTCTTTGGAGGCAAGCCCGATGGAAGAGGGGCAATACCGACTTCTCAAGGCGCAATGTGACCTCAAGGCAGCTCTATTGAGAGAAGCCAGATATTGGCATCAGAAATGATGAGAATATAAAGACCAAGGCCCATTCAAGCACATGGGGAATTAGAAGATTCAAGTGAAAACTAGTTGATTGCACGAATGCTTGAGTTTAGTAGGATTATTTGATTTTCCTCATTGATTTTGGTTATTTTTCGTTTTAAAAAGTCTAGGTAATTAAGATAGTTTAATTGCAGCCCATTTGTTAGTAAGTAAGACCCAAAATCTTTCTTAAGTATGTAGGGTAGTTTGGTCAACTTTTGGATTAGGGTTAATGCTTGTAAAGGCTATAAATAGCCCCACTTCCTCTTTGTTTGGGATCAATTTTTTGGCTATTAAATACAATTAGTGAGTTTTCACTTTCTCTTTGGCAAGAGAGTTGTCTTTGAATATTTGAGAATTTTCTAAAGTTATTCACCTGAACTTATCAATCGAGTATCTCCTTGATTGTGGCGTTCTACTACCTCCAATTTGGTTCGTTAATTCAAGTAGTTACGAGTTGAGATAATATCAAAATTGTTCATGACTTCTAGGGATTAGTTGGGTCAAATTTCCGCTGCCTAAGCTAATGTGTTTTGGTTGTCTAGATCGGGGTTTCACATCAGTTGGTACCAGAGCTAGTCGACAACCACCAGATTATATCTTTTTTTTTCTCTTCGTTTATTTCGAGTCATATATGTTTATCCCAATCTGTTCGTTTGTTTAGAACAAAAAAAAAATTTATTACTGTTCATCATACTGTTCACCGTTACTGTTCACCGACACTGTTCACCCTTCTGTTCACCGATACTGTTCACCGTTACTGTTCATGGTTACTGTTCATCCGAATACAAATCTGTCCAGCCTTGTTGTTTGTGTTATCCAACTTGTTTACTTGGTTTTCAAATCTGAATTTTGGCAAAACTTGTTGGAATTTTGTGAATCTTGAAGAGAACTTACAATAATCTTGAATTTCTTGCATTCTTGATCACAATCTTGAAATTTCTGAAGTTCCTGACAACTTCCTTGAAAGTTCTTGAAAGATCTTGGAGTTCTTGGTAGTTATTATTTGTGGACTTTCTTGTTTTGTGTCGTGGTTGATAGTTGTAGTTAAGAAACAAAAACGAAAAGAAAAAGAAAGAAAAGAGGAATCGGTTGGCAAGAAAAAAAAAAGGAAAGGAAAGAAAGTGGCAACCGAATTGTTTTGAATAGGAAACCAAATCTGATTTGTGCAATCTTTCTTGGAATAGAATTTGGAAGTTACTAAAAGTTGTTTCAAGAAGATTACCAAAGGTTGTTTCAAGAAGGTTACCAAAAGTTGTTTCAAGAAGATTACCAAAAGTTGTATCAAGAAGGTTACCAAAAGTTGTTCAAGAGGAAAAGAATTTTCAAAGGGTTTCAAAAAACTAAGTTGTTTCCAAAATCAATTAGGAAACTAAGTAAAGCACTTGGATAACTCTTTGTACTCACTTGGACACTCTCTCTCTTACCTTTTTTAGGAAACTTTCCTAAATTCTCTCATCCATTTTTTTAGGAAATTTTCCTAAACTCTCTCATCCATTTTTTTTGGAAACTTTCCTAAATTCTCTCAACCATTTTTTAGGAAACTCTCCTAAAATTCTCTCATCCATTTTTAGGATTTTTCCTATATTCTCTCATCCACTTTAGGAAACTCTCCTATATTCTCTTCCTAGATTCTAGGAACACTTTCCTACATTTTCTCCTACATTCTTGTGATTACACTTGTGGAAAGGTTGGTAACGGTTGTTGGACTTGAGCAGCATTTCTCAACTACCTAACCCAACAGGTAAAGGTATTTGGTAAGTCCATTAGAGTGACATCCATATACATGAGTGCGAGTGGATACACGTAAGGGAGCGTAAAAGGCAATATCTTCGGTTTCGTTGCTAACTTTTTGCAAGTTCCCTCATACGTCATGGCGAGTATAAGACGCATAAAAGCTAGCCCACAACATTGTCTTCCTGATCCTAAGGGAGTCAAAGAAATGGCATTACGTGGTGTAGATGAGCAATTGGACCTCGTCAAATCTCAGTTGCTTGGTTGGTTTTATACTCGTTGCGGTGTCAAAGATAAAATTTGTAGCTTGGCCATTGATGGTAGTTGTGAAGTCAATCTTGCAAGTGCTATCATGGTTGAGAAATTAAATCTTCCAACCATTGATCATCTTTAACCGTACAAGTTGACGAGCACTCATGGGGATGTTTGGGTTACTAAGCACACACTTGTACCTATTCAAATCGGCAAATATGTGGATGAGGTGTTGTGTGATGTAGTCCCAATTCAAGTGACACATGTGTTGTTTGGCAAAGCATGGATGTCGAGGCGAGAAGTTAAAATTGATGGACATACTAATAAGTATTCCTTCTTATTTAATAGTCGTCGTCTTGCACTTGTATCACTTACTTATGACCAACTTTGTATTGATTTAGCATGCATGAAAAGTGAGATTGAGCGTTATAGAATGGAGAAAAAGTTAGATGAGGGAATTGTGCCTGCAGAGGTAAAATCCGAGGAAGTTGAAAGTAATGAGATAAAAGGGTCAGCTGTTGAACTAGAAAAAGAGATAGAAAAATCTAATGAGATGGGTGGTAAAAAGGAAGAAAGAAGAGAAAATGGGCTAATTTTGAGCAACCCGGTGAAGGCCTATTATTTTCTTAACAAACTTACCTTTGTTTTGTTTAGTGTTTCTTCTTTTATACAGATCAAGCAAAGGCAAGTTGAGCTGATCTTGGTGTGTTCCATTCCAAAATCAATTGTAGACGTTGCAAGCCTCCATGGAGTTGGTACTCCAAGAGTTAAACCCCCTTGGTATCCATTCATGGAACAATGTCAACTCAAATCAGTCCACACCAAAGGGGAGTTGATTCGAGCTCATCTTGAAGGAAACACTCCATATTTTAGGGATGATTGTGTACCAAGGGTTCGTTTAAAGAACAAGTACCTCAATGACCATTATGATTTTCGTCTTGCTCTTAGTCCACATGCAGCTCCAACATCACCAAATCCGCCTTGGTGCCTTGCAAGTGTGTTCGAACCGGAGTTCGATTTCACAGGATACACTTCATACCATTTTGAGGACCCTTACCTCATGACCACAAACAATAAAGTTGAGCATACATTGAAGATGGTTTGTGAGAGTCAAGGTTCGACGAGGGTTATTTTCCAACTTAGCACATGGGCTTTGCATTGGATGCCATCTGTAGCCATTATAACAAGATTGAGTCGAAGGCATGTTACTCGTCTTGTCACCATTCGTGCTTCAATTTGTAGGCAAATTGCTTTTAAGAGGAGGGGAATGATGAGAATATAAAGACCAAGACCCATTCAAGCACATGGGGAATTGGAAGATTCAAGTGAAAACTAGTTGATTGCACGAATGCTTGAGTTTAGTAGGATTATTTGATTTTTCTCGCTGATTTTGGTTATTTCTCGTTTTAAAAAGTCTAGGTAATTAAGATAGTTTAATTGCGGCCCATTTGTTAATAAGTAAGGCTCAAAATCTTTCTTAAGTATGTAGGGTAGTTTGGTCAACTTTTGGATTATGGTTAATGCTTGTAAGGGCTATAAATAGCCCCACTTCCTCTTTGTTTGGGATCAGTTTTTTGGTTATTAAATACGATTAGTGAGTTTTCACTTTCTCTTTGGCAAGAGAGTTGTCTTTGAATATTTGAGAATTTTCTAAAGTTATTCACCTGAACTTATCAATCGAGTATCTCCTTGATTGTGGCGTTCTACTACCTCCAATTTGGTTCGTTAATTCGAGTAGTTACGGGTTGAGATAATATCAAAATTGTTCGTAACTTCTAGGGATTAGTTGGGTCAAATTTCCGCTGCCTAAGCCATGGTGTTTTGGTTGTCTAGATCGGGGTTTCACATCAAGAAAGCTTGTATTCGGTGGTTAAAGGAAGGTGATGCCAACACTAGGTTCTTTCATGGCCAATTCAAGCAAAGATGGGCGCATTGTTATATACATCGAATGAAGGATAAGAATGGAGTTTAGGTTGATGAGCTACCTAAAATTGAAGACATGGTGGTTGAGTACTTTGCTGAAGCTTTGGCTCAATCTGATCAAGTACAGGTTGATCAGTTATGGTTAGATGCTATCCCCTCAATTGTCTCAGAGCAGGAGAATGAGGCTCTTCAACAAGTCCCTACTGAGGAAGAGGTTAAAAAAGTGGTTTTCCAGATGAATGGGGAGAGTTCCTCAGGGCCAGATGGGTTGACGGGCTCTTTCTTCACTTCCTATTAGAAAATAGTAAAGGGTGATGTCTGTCGGGTGGTTTGGGATTTCTTCGCTGGTGCGCAGCTGCCTTGGGGATACACATCGACTCTGCTAGCTTTAATTCCGAAAATATCAGGTGCGTCCTCGTTTTCGGAGTTTAGGCCAATCAATCTTTGTAACTTTGTTAATAAAATCATATCAAAATTGCTGGCAATGAGCTTGGAGGGGATTCTACCTAAGCTAATATCGCCTCAGCAGAGTGGTTTCATGAAGGGTAGACAGATCTCTGATAATATATTGCTGGCTCTGGAAATGTGCTCAGCGTTGGGGAAGAAGGTTAGGGGATCAAATGTTGCGCTGAAGTTGGATATGGCCAAAGCGTATGACCGGGTCTCTTGGTGTTTTTTAATTCGAGTTATGCGAAAATTTGGTTTTGGGGAGCACTGGATAGATATGATTTGGCGGTTGATCTCCTCATGCCATTTCTCTGTTCTACTTAACGGAAAACCCTATGGTTTTTTCAGATCATCTCGGGGGTTACGCCAAGGGGACCCATTATCCCCGGCCCTATTTATCATTGCGGCTGAGGTCCTTTCGAGGGGCTTGAATACTTTGGTGGGGGACTTGCAATTTTCTCCATACTTTGTTACCCGGGGATGTCCTCCGTTGACACACCTTGCCTATGCTGATGACATCATTATTTTTTGTAATGGTAGTAAACGTTCATTAGCATGTGTTATGGAGGTATTGGGCAAATATCAGAGGATCTCAGGACAGTTGGTGAATGTTTCTAAGAGCTGTTTTTTGGTGGACAAGAAGGTATCGCTTATACAGCATAGGGTGATTGCGCGGATCACGGGGTTTCTTTTAAAGAGCTGCCAGTCACTTACTTGGGTTGCCCCTTGTATGCTGTGAGAAGGGTGAGATCCTTGTTCAATGGTTTATTGGATAAAGTTTCACAGCGTTTGGGTTCTTGGCGAGGCCGGTGGCTGTCAATGAGTGCTCGTGCTATACTCATTAAGCATGCGTTGTCCTCAATCTCGATTCATATTCTGGCGGTATTGGTGCGTCCAAAGGGGGTAATTACTGAGTTGGAGCGGGTGTTTGCACGATTTTTTTGGGGGGAATCAGAGTTTGGGTTTAAGTGGCATTGGTCAGCATGGAAGATATTATGTCGTCCCGTGGAGGAGGGGGTAGGTTTTCATTCATTATAGGCCATTATTGAAGCTTTTTCCTGTAAGCTTTGGTGGCTGTTTGGATGTGGACTTTCGCTCTGGGCACAGTTCATGAGGGCTAGGTATGTTGGTGAGTTACATCCAAATCAGGTCTCTGTTTCTCCTAAGTTTTCCCCTAGTGGTGAACGAATGTTTGGGGTTTGATTTTCCATGGAGATGTGGCTAAAATGGGATTTGTCTAGGGGGGATGTTGCCTTCTGGTGGGATAATTGGAGTGGGCTAGATCCGTTGGCATGGAGGTTTCCAGATTTAGCGTCAAACGCTCGGGTTTATGATTTTTTGCATGAGGGCCAATGGGATCATTTGGCCTTGGCTGCCTTCCCTTTAGAGGTCACAGAGTCGGCTGCGGATTCTTTCTTTTGTTTTGGTAAGGTTCCCGATGGCCTAGTTTGGACCTTATAACCTTCGGGGAGTTTTCTACAAAATCGGCATATCAGGTAGTTCGATCCTTTCGGGTTCGGTCATGGGCATTTGCTTCTATCTGGCATTCTTTAATTCCGTAGAAATTTTCCTTTCTTATGTGGAGATTGTTGCATGAGCAGCTGCCAGTGGATGATGTGTTAGCAAAGTTTCAAGTTCATGGCCCCTCTAGGTGTCAATGTTGTTTGCTGCCTCAGTTGGAAACGTTGCAGCATGTTTTTGCTACTGGGGTGTTAGCAACTGAGGTTTGGGGATTTTTTGGGCAGTTGCTAGGCGTTGCAACTCCTTCAGTTGCTTGTGTTAGGTCACGATGCTACAAATAGTGGTTGTTCAGTGTCAAAAGGAGGGCATTTCGGTGGCTATCCCATGTGCTACCGTTGCTTATTGTCTGGTTTTTATGGCGGGCTAGAAACATGGCTCGATTTGAGGGACGAAGAATATCCGTTGGTCAGGTTTGGGGATGGATCATTCATGAGCTGCGGTTATTGATCCAAGTGTACTTTCTGACCATGACAAGGGTACCACTTCAACGGGCGGAGATTCTGGACTCGCTATCTGGACTTCAGAGGTCCTTAGTTTCCACTCTGGTGCAATGGGTGTGTCCTTTGGACTGTTTCTTTAAGTTGAATTCGGATGGTTGCTCTACTCTTCGAGGTGAGGGTGGTGGTGGAGTGATTAGAGATTCCTGTGGAAGGCTCATTCTGGCTTTTGCTGATTTCTTTGGTCTGGTAAGTCCCCTGCAAGCGGAGGCGCGCACGCTACTTTTAGGTATTCAGTTAGGGCGACAAAGGGGGATATTGCATTTAATTGTTGAATCTGATTGCCTCATCTTGATCAGTTGTTTACAGGGGGAGGGAGAGGTCCAGCGGTCATTCGGCCTGTCGTGCGTGCGATTCGGAATGCTGTTCCAGAGTATCATCAGTTCAGGCACTGTTACAGAGAGGGGAATGCTGTGGCTGACTCATTGGCTTCCTACGGTACTGCGCGTGGGTCCTTTGAGCTCTTTACTAAAGCTTCTCAATTACCGTGTCGCACAAGAGGGTTACTGGCCCTGGATATGCAGAACTTTTGTAATTTTCGTTTCTCGTTTCGGAGGTAAGGGTGCAACCTTCCTCCCTACATTGTATTCTTCGGCAGCTTGAATAATAATATGATTTCAATTTAAAAAAAGGTTCAAAAACTTGGTCAAAATCTATTTTTAAGGGTTCGAATGGACTGAGTTTGAGTGAATGCAAATCTTTATATATCAAACCCTTGATTTACTTTATAATTCTAAAGTTTCAAACTACTTTATTGTAATAAAAGTTATAAATATTAATTTTTCATTAAATTATTTTATTAATATTTTACAAAATATTAAATTATTTTGTTAAAAAATATGCAAATTAAGGGATATTTTAGTCATTGAAATAGTAATCCTACCTCATCCAATCTCAAACCAACGCAGGATAGGATTATTTCCAACATATCTTATCCAATCTAGAACCAACCAAATACTAGATAACTTGGACTATTAATCCGAGAATGACTCAACCCAGAATTAATAATCCGAAGATGAGTCATTCTATCTTATCCAATCCGTGAACCAAATGGACCTAAAAGTTTCTACAACTTCCATGACCCATAGAATAATGAAAAACAATGAAAAAAAATAATGAGAGAAAGATAAAAGTCCATTATCAAGAAAAAGGAAAGGACATAAAAAATAAATGAAGCCTTATTGGACTTATGATGGATGTATACAAATCAAAAGTAAAATTGAAAGATAAACCAAATTATTCGATACAAAAAATTAAGTTCAAATCGGAAAGAGTTCGTTTGAATTTGGTTCGCTCGCTAATCAAATTAAATTTAAATAGCAATTTGTATTCGATAAACTTTTAAAAAGATGAATCAAATTATTTGATATTAAAGATCGAGTTCAGATCGGCAAGAGCTTGTCCAAATTTAGTTCGCTAGCTAATCAAATTAAATTTGAATAGCAATTTGTATTTGATAAACTTTCAAGTTCAACTCCAGTTCGATTTGATTAGCATATAAGTGAAATTTATATGTAAAAGATTCAAACTACTCAAATTCGACTCAATAAAAACATGTTCAAGCTAAAACAAACAAATCAAATTTGAATAAAATTTCAAATTTATTAATATAATCAAATAAGTTTAAACACTAGGGTGTTTTATTTGTTTAAACTTGTTTATACCTCTGCCCAAAAGTAGATCAATTTAGGCTTATCCCATATTTCTCGGATATAAGCCGACATGTGCAGCCTTTATATGAAGCCTAAGCGGCTCCCACCCATCAGCCCAATTTGTCGCTACCAATTCCGCCTATCAACCGCATCTCTATTATTCCACATTATCGCTTAGAGGTTAGAGCCTCCACAACACCCTGGTTGGTAGGACAACAAATTCTCATCCATTTCTTATTCTAAATTTCTTTGACTAGTTAGTGGCCAAACTTATTTAACTAGTGGCTAAACTTAATTAAATGATACATGAAGTTATTTTGGGTAATAATTCCCATTATTCAATTATTTCTTGATGGCGTGCATTTATATCACTTTCTTCCACTGCAAAGACTTTTTCTGTGGTTGGGCATCTTTTTTTAAGTTTCTTTTGTGTTTTCAAAAGTGTTTCTGGTCAACTCTGTCGGTGTTAGCACCCACAAAATTTGAGAATCTTTTGGTTTAAACGGATACTTCCACTTTCACGAAAAGTAAAGAGATCTTTTGAAGATTTGGTAAAGATATTTAAAAAAATTTAAGGTTTGTTAAGTATTTGATGGAAAGTGCAGAACGTGAGAGTATTAATTTTCCAAATATTTGACCGTCCTCGTGGCTATATTTTATGCATGTACGTGAACTACATTAGTGATTTCTATACATTTTATTTGAGAGATTTTCTAGTAGGTAAGCAACGGAATATATTTTTGTAAGATATAGGAAAGTACAATGGAAGATGGTTGAATTGGATGATAACGAGAGAGGATTTACAAACAGGAGATTCTGTTGTAGATTACCTCCCAGGGAAGCAAAAAAAAAAAAAAAAAAAAAAAGTACAATAAAGAGAAGATGTGGATCAGGGCCACCCCAGTTGCTTCTTTTGTTAGTATACTGTTGGTCCAAGGTCCAGCTTCTGTTTTGAAAACCATGAGAGCTTTTTGTGTGCCAAGACAAGGTAAATATTTATATAGTCTGCTTCTCATGTTATATCTATCGTTTTCTAAGTAATTTTTTCTTGAAAAGTATTTTTTTCTATTAAGTCAACCAATGGGAAAAAATGTTCGATCTTAAGGTTCAAATCAAATGGTTGTTTCCATGACCTTTACTTTTCCCTTGTTCATCTACTTGATGTTTTTGATCGGATTCTTATTCAATTTTAAGTCTTTAGTTCTAAAATACATGGTTTATTAAGTACAAGTTGTGAAAGGCTTTTCACCTTTGATTGGTAAACTTAACTCCAAATGATTAGTTCTAATTTTATGTTTTCTTTTTCTGTCAAGAAAATAGACCCAATCAATTAATTGAGAGGTTCTTGGGATCCAATTACTTTAAATATTTTGGATTAGCCTTTTTGTTCCTCCCTCTTTTTCCGTACCTTTTTTTATATAAAAAAAAAAATTAGTTCTCAATGTGGTCATGTACTCATGATGCCTTTGATGAGTAGTTATCAGACACCTGATTAAGATTTGGCAAGTGCTCTCTGGCCTCCATGATCGCCAAAAGTAAAAGTACACATTTAGCTCATTTTAATTATAAGCGGAACCAAAAAATTTTCTTCCGTGGGAATGAATTCTAGTTCAACTAAAAATTAAGTACACAACTTGAAATATTTTTAATTTTTTATGGGAGTAAAAGTTTAAATTTACATAGAAAATTTTTAAAACTTTCAACTTTTTAAGAGAGAAAAACTAATTTTCAAAATTTGGGGGGGCCGAGTTCTGCGCATGATTTCAACCTTTAGCTAATACGTAAGTTCATATTAACTTGCAACATTCTAACTCATTAAGCTTGGACGCAGATATATTGACGCCTCAAAATTGACCCCAACATAAAGCTGATTTTTTAAGTTATTTTTTCTTTTTAGCTGAATTTTAAATTAATTACAGCCTTCATTCACTAATACAATAGGGTGATTTCTGTTCACTAATACAGCCTTCATATTTGACGAAGTTAAAGAATTCCTTGTGCCAATCACGTCCCCACATTCCATCATCATTTGGAGCCTTTTTAGTTCATGGTAGGTAAGAAAGTGACAAGGAACATATCTGTTCATATATTTAGTTTTACTGGATAATTTATGACTAAGATTTAGACACAAATATTTACTATAGAAGAAGCTATTTTGGGGAGTAAATAATTCTAGCTACTACTCATAAAATTTCATGATTGAATGCATTTGCATCCTTTGCTTCCACTTGGAACGATTTTGTAGCTAACAATGTCTGAAAATAGTTGGCACTCTCAATTGGAAAAAAAAAAAAAAAAAACCCCATCATGTTGCCTTTCGAAGAGACTACCATGGTGTTTGGTCTTTCATTTTACATTATGTATATTTGCTTTAACCATTGCAAAATAAATGTATGTTAAATTTTAATATTAGATTTTATGTGAAATATCCGAGTTTTAATTTAGTTGGTTTTTTTCAATAAACTTTGTACTATTTTGTGGAGTAAATATCTCTAACTATTAAAGCACTTCATGATTGTATGCATTTACATCCTTTGCTTCCACTTGAAACATTTTTTCTATCTAATAATGTATGAAATTTGTTAAAAAGAAAAAGCATGAAATTTGTTTAGACCCTCAAATGAAAAGAGACTACCATGGTGTCTATTGTTTTGGCTTTTTCTTCCTTTTTTTTTATTTTTAAGAGGATCAACAGTAATTCTCCACTTGTTTTTTGATGTTTTAACTATATTATTTTACATTTCTCTTTGTGTTTTTCTTGGCCAAGAAAATAAAGAAAATGACGTGCGAATCTGTGCCGAATACGCAACTCTGCAAGAAATTTCAAAACAAAAAGATCAATTATTTTAGACTGCGTCAGATGACAAGAGAATATATTAATCATCCCACTATTGAATTGATCTCGTGGCTATACTTTAGTAAGCCATGTGAACTACATTAATTGTTTCTCCAGTCCAGGATAAAATTATTCTAACTTTCGTGAAGGACAATAAATAGGTGAAGAAAGGTCCAAGGCCGCCCCAGTTGTCATAGTTTCAGTACATTTTACAATTGCTAAAGTTTTTTCCTGTTCGGTTGTTACAAAACAATCTCAAACCTCAAAAGGAAAAGAGCTACTATTGTTCAATATGG